AGGCCGGTATTGAAACGCCAATTACATCACTTATATTTCTTATTCAGCGGCGACAAATGAATCACTGCATTCTAAGGCTGGGACGGGTACTCGGGTACTCGAATCCGGGTCGGGTACAGCTGGAATCGAGTCCTATTTCTAGGAATCGAGTATCCGGAAAGGGAGAGAGCTCTGTAATGACAAGGGCAGACAATAGCTTGTCTTTTTCATTTTTGACTTAACACACATTTACATCACTGAGTGAGTGAGGGAGTGAGTGAGTTTAGTTTTACGCCGCACTCAGCAATATTCCAGCTATATGGCGGCGGTCTGTAAATAATCGAGTCTGGACCAGACAATCCAGTGATCAACAACATGAGCATCGATGTGCGCAATTGGAAACCGATGACATATGTCAACCAAGTCAGCGAGTCTGACCAACCGATCCCGTTAGTCGCCTCTTACGACAAGCATGGGTTACTGAAGATCCATATTCTAACCCGGAAATTCACGGGTTTTTACATCATTGGTATTGTCCGATTAATGAAGCATAGTTTTAATGACTGTAACTTATCTGTGCATGTGCAGTGAGTAGTTAAGTTACAGTAGCAGCAGGAACAAAACGTTCGTTGTTATAACGAGGAATGTAAGTAATGGTGTTACTCTCTATATTGGTTAAACAGACGTAAATTAAATAGCTTGAGGTCAGTTTTAATGTCTTATTACCAACTGTTCAAGTTTTCCACAATAATCTCTGTCAAATCGTGATTGAATATTCAGAAAGTTGACCCGAATGTATTTCTTACATTTCCGGGTACTCGACTCCGATTCGGGTACGTACATGCGGGTACTCGATTCCATTGTTTCCTACTCGTCCCAGCCCTACTGAATTCCTCATACATTTTAGAATCTAATTACAACTGGTCTTTTTGGCACCAATACCAAGTGTCTAGATAAAGTGAAACGAAAGATATTGGGGGTGCTCGAAAGACAACACCTGTTTGAAATGTAAACAAAGAAAATTTCAGACTTTACACTGTGTAGCATTTTCTCAAATTTTCAGACACCCATTTGCATGGAAAGAGCATAGTAGCAAGAAATGGGAAATTAAAAATAGATACAATACAGGAATGTGATGTGTTAACACGGAACTGTCAAGTTTCTGTGCTGCGTGACGCCATGACTGATGCAAGTGTTAAAAGATGAAACGTAGGCATCATCCATGTACTTGTACAACATGTATTTTAGTTCCTATGATGTGCATAGATACAGTTTCGTATGTAACTCTTCGTCAGAATAATTTCCAATATCGAAGTCCAGTCCACGATACACCCTATCCTTTCTTTGCTGAACTGGCATCATGAAAGCAGTGTTAGCCATGAACGCCATTTGCGAGTTAACCACACTGTTAAAAAGTTAGCGGCGGTCCTTAGGTGTGTTAACTTAACGTCACGTTAACAGCCTGTTAAAAGTTAACAGAGTTTTGAACAACAAGATAACCCTCTGTTATTAGGTAACAGTCGGTTAAATGTACTTAACGGCTGGTTAAAAGATAACCGAGTTTTGAACAACCGGGCCCTGATAGACGACAGTGTGTCTCTGTTAATGGAACATTATGAAAACCAAATGTTACTGCAGGGGTTCCTCAAGGATCTGCCCTTGGTTAATTTGTGTTCCTTGTATATATCAATGATTTACCTGGAAATTTACAAAATATCACAATAATGTTGGCCGATGACACATCAATCGGTGTTGCGGGAAAATATGTAAAATCCATAGAAGCAACTCTCAACTATGATTTAGCCCAATTGAATAAATGGGCAGAAAAGTGGTGTGGTGTGTTCTAACGGTTATATCTAGCATACTTTAAGACATAGAGGGGTGGTGGTGGTTCTAACGGTTATATCTCTAATACATGTAGAGGCGGGAGGCCTAACGGGTATGAACAACAATAAAACTTTCATGCATTTATAACCCACATTTTCGAACCCTTTTATCGGTCTCTAAAAGGGAGCTGGCAATAGATTTTAATGAGCTTCGTCCTTCAAGCCTGAAAACCTTGTAATATGGTTGATTAATCCTTTGTCATTTATCAAAAAAAGTAGTGAGGTTGTGCTCTATTATTATAGATTTCTAAAATATATGGACACTATTGGGACGTTGGTAACTGTCATCAGACATTATTTGACGACATTTCTCATGGTTTGAATATAGCCGACTTTATAGAAGATAAATATCAGTTTACAACACAACTGCCTAAATCTTGGTATTTTCGGAACCAGAGAAGGGATATGCCGATATTTAGGTCGTTAACCTAGCATATTATGGTCACGATATAATTTTTTATTTATTACCGAAGTCTTTAATTGCGGAAATTACGCGATAATCTACTTTCCATCAAAGGCAGTCTCCCCGCCATCGTTGTATTTAGAAGGCGGCTTCTTAGAAGCAACGTGACGTCATAACATTGTTCATGATGTCATGTCACCATGATAAAGTGGTATTTTACCCGGTGCATATCGCATGAAAACAAATTATCCCCGATATGTTTGCCCTCGTAGGTTATAAGCATTGTTATGATCATTCGTTGAGGTTAATGCCACCCGTTGAATTCTTTGTTGTATTTTGAGCGGTGAAACTAAATAAATGATTTCTTTGGTCTACCCATAACAATTAAGGTGTCAACTTCCACTGTATACCTTACAGAAAGAAGTTTTGACTTTACTTTGATAACGAGCACATCTGATCGATTCCTTGAAAGCAAATGATGCAATTCAATATCATTTCTACATTTTATTTTAAATGCATCAATCAAATACAACAAATGAGTAGACAGATTGACTGCTATGTGGCAAGGAATAACCAGGCGCCAGCGATTTATGATATTCTTAGCAAATGTAACTTAAAATTCCCTCTCATAAAAATACAATAATATATAGTAATATGATGAAGAAAATAATACGAACCAGGTTAAACTATGACAACGCAATATAAGAATGTATGATCGAAACATAAATCATAATAAATCACATATGATTAAAACATTAAATTAACTTCAAATATGTCATTGCGTCAACATTGAAAATAATTCGAAAATGAATAAAAAAGAAACGTACATTTCAAAGCGTAAACAAACAATATCCTGTTATTTTGGGATATGCTATGAAGAACTTCAAAATGTAATAGAAATAACATTAAATTATTGAAAGCTATTGCTCGTAACATATGTCCTTGCGTCAACATCGAAAATAACTCCATAATGAAAAACAATTAACTTTAATTTTCGAAACATACACAAATAATCTCTGGCTTTTTTTAAGACGTGTCACGAATAATTTCACAGCTGGTAGAATTAACACGAAATTATAGAAACCATTTGCTAACAAAAACTTGAAAATTAATAATCACAAAGCGTCACAAACATAGCTATTACCCCCGCCACATGTCGATATCTGAATGTCGCAATTATCCTCTGTCTGACCCTGAAAATTATGTAAACGTTACCGAAACTGTCATCTGATGCCTTGATGCAAAATGCGAACAAATTCCATCCATTAAGTTTGGAGATATCGCAAGAATACTCGCTGTGACCTTGAAAATAATCCGAAGGTCACTGAATTCGACTGGCGTTAGACGATACTCCCAACGCATCTTGGTACTACCTTTAAGCAAAACATATTAATTCTGTCTTGTATTTTCGCACTAAAAAGTTAGACATGTGCAAAACACTTTTCACTGTGAACTTAAAATGAGCACAAGTTTCCCAATCAATTGGTGTTGGGGGAAATCCCGCCAATACACCTTGATATAAAATTGGATCAAAATCTATTAATACTTTCCTGAGTTCGCGGCTACCAAGCTTGGCATGTGCAAAACTGTTACACCTTCGCTGTGACCTTTAAAATGACTTCAAGGTCACTAAATTCAAGTGGTGTCGGTAAATCTCCGATCTCCAGTCAATAAACCTTGGTACCAAATTTGAACAAAATCCATCATTTCTTTCTCGAGTTCTTTCAGTAAACAGAATGGGGAGTCATTTGAACAAGCGATTGTAGTTTTGAAATTGCCTTTTTGTGCAGTTTAATATCTACGTTTGATTCTAGCCGACTTCTACCAATCTCAAACATAGCATATTTTGTTTCCTGAAGTTTGTGATGCATTTTATTGCAGATTTTACGTTTTTTGGGAGTACCAAGCCAAGATACAAAGTCTCACAAAATGGGGATCGTGAGGCTGCAACATAGCAAAACCAATTTGCTTGAGGCTGACAGATAATATGTAGAAAAATAAAACATAAAAAAACAGCTGCATTTGTATCATATTCTAGGTGAGGCTGACTACTATTTGAACGTCCCTCGTAGTTATACCCGTTAGAACACCCACCCACCTCTCCGACTCTACATGCATGCAAGTGTGTTAGATATACCCGTTAGAAACCCACCCCTACCCCACCCCCCACTTTATATGTATACATATCAAAACCTCAAAAGATATTTGCGAAAAGACATGATACAGAGGACAGATTATATCGATTATATATCAGGACGAATATCATTTTCGTCATTTAGCTAAGATTTGTCAATTCTTTCTTGGGTTATCGCGCTAACAATCTTTATGTTGGCAAAACCCTCAGATTTTTGCTGTGACCTTGAAAATTATCTCAAGGTCACTCCATTTCACTTGTGTCGGTGAATCTCGCCAATATACTTTGGTACCAAATTTGAACAAAATCCATCATTTCTTTCTTGAGTTATCGCCCTAACAAGCTTATTTGATGTATGAAATGCAACGAAAACAAACACCCGCGTATTTACGAGTGATTAAAACTGTTATTACAATTTACGTAAATATTTATTACATTTTACCGCAACGAAAATTATTACAATTTACGTCAATTTTATTACAATTTGCGTATTACAATTTACGTCAATTTTATTACAATTTACGTTTTATTACAATTTACGTCAAGTTTATTACAATTTGCTGCAAGTATTACAATTTGCGTTTTTATTACAATTTACGTCCTTGTCTCAGGGAGTAAAATCTTTCCTGGAGGAGGGGTAGCTGGTCTCCATCCCCAAAGACTCTTATCAGGACCTTAAAGATCTCTTCCGGCTGGCCTTTCAGAAGGTCTCCACGCCCTTGAATTTCTTGTCGGGCCCTTCCTGCCAGGTTGTCTATGATCACAGCAGCGGTATCTGAAGGATTCAGGCGCCTGGATTCAGCGTGGCTCCTGATGTCTGAAATCCACTCAGCCAGGGTGGGGTCACCCGCCCTCTCCGGCCTTCCCCTGAAGCGGTCCAGCTTCCTCCCTGTGACCATCATGACTGGCTTTTTCGACTCCTCTTGCTGGTTCCTAATCCAGACCTCCTGCTCCTTAATTCTCATTCGGAGCCTTTCCAACTCCGAAGAGAGTTCCTCCACCTTGTCAACTCCCTCATTAACTTCCTGTTCTCCTGTTCCTTCCCCCTCCCCTTCACCCTGTGGTCTATCTCCAGGCATCCTTAACTCAAGACCCTAAGATCTAACTTGAAGGAATCTTTAAGGGAAAGAAACAGGAAAATACCCAAACAACATTTAACAAAATTAAAGCATTATCTAAATCTTAATCTTCTACTGCTGATGCCCGTCGATCTTCATCTTTCTGGTTCCGGTAGCAGCGATATCCTGCAGTCCTGTGTCCTGTCAGGCCAGCAGTTGAGGGTCAATCCGTCGAGTCAGTATCCCACTTCTGACACCATGTAAAAAGCAGAACAGAGTCGTTCTCTGGGTCCGTATTTTATTGTACTGAAGATGATAGACCTAAACAATAAAACAAAACATTCAATATACATGGTAACATCATGGATGGCCTGTCACAGATGAAACATGTACATCGTAATCCCATAGAATTTTAGATAAGCACAGTGCATAAAAGTACAATATAAACATTCACATGGAAGAAAGCATCTTTTACATACAAAGTCAACTGTACCAATAGCACTTGCATAACTTCCAGCAAAAATACCAGACCCAGTGGGTATGTCACCTCTTATTTAATAGTTTTACACAAGTTAATCTAACTAATAACATACAATAACTAACATGAAAAATAAATGAAACTTTACACCGTTTTCCAGTTGAGGTAGATATATAAACTCACCCCCAACTACCTTGGATACATCTGTCCACAACCGGACGGGGCTTCCTTGCCTAGTAGGATGCGACTACAATACAATGAGTAAACTGACAATTTCAGGCAAACACATCGTGGCGATAATAATGATGAATTGCATACTTTTCTACAAACATTATCACACTCGGGGCTAATCTTAGTGCTCCCGCTAACACGCGGTTTTGAAACTAACAAGTTGGAACAAATCAAAACAATGGAGTTGGAGTGAATAATTACGGTTCACGGAAACTGTAGAATGGTAGTGAGCAAGGGAGATAACTGCTTACGGGGAGTGACAAATAAAATAACAGTACAACCTAAAATTGTCACTAATTAGTGGATCACTTAATACAAACAACATTTTATACACTATTCGTTCCCACACAACCATTGAGCAAAAACATGCTTTCAAGTTACAATTCTACTCTATAAACATTGATGACAGCACATTTAAAAAATGAAACATTTTCCCCATAACGAGTTATACATGGATGGCTACGAGATAATCACAATTACTAAAACAATCAACTTTCTGATCAAGTAAACTTTGCCAGTGGCTGTATCACAGACAAATACACTGTTATAGCATAACAACACAATTGATAAGCGAAGGGAGTGTACTTACTCGTTAAATGGTTGGCTCATTAGAGCTGGACAAAAACAATGCGCTCTGTGGTCAAACAACGTGCTGCTCGGCTGGCTGGCTAAACAAAGGGCCTGCCTTGGGCGCGAGATGAAGCGATAAGAGGAGCATTTTGGGTAAGCTCAAAGTAATTACTTACAGCTGTTATTATTCTTTTGTGAATGTGTAGAAATTAAAAGGGATCTTAAGCACAGACCTCAAGTACAGATGTGAAAATATAGGAGAGGTGACATAAGAAATAACCTCTTAATCAGTAATGTTTACAAAGTTTTCCGAGCCCTGACGGAGTTTGTCGAAGATAATGTGAGTAAAGACGTGTGACTGATGGCACTTTACATGTACAAGGTGACAACGTTCGCGAGAAGCATGTGCGAGGCAGGCAAACCTGGGTAGGGCTAAGTGTACATGTAGACTGTGTGCATGTCTCTTATCATTACATCTGCCCTCTCAAGTACGAAACTTCTCCAACCGGTGGGGAACCATCTGAAACATCTAACATGGTTAAACATACAATAATTAACAATCAATCCACTCACAGTCTCATGGGTGACTTGGACACACAGCCATATCACAGACACAGGAGACGTCACAGACGACGAAGATGGACTCGACAACGATGGAGTTGTAACATCAGCAGTTCCCTGGTCCAGGAGTGCGTGATGACAACAGAATATCACAACGATTCCGTCGAAGTAGACTACCATTATCTGTCTGAACATTGTAAGATCTATGGCCAGCATCCTGAACGACTGTACCACGTTGCGACCATTACACCGTTGATGATCACTCACTGCAACTCTGTCACCATACTGTAGCCTACGCAAGGGCTTTGTAGACCTGTCGTAATAGTGCTTCTGTTTTAATTTCTGATTCTCTTTAAATTTAACAACTTTACGAGACCTGGAAACTTGCCAAAGTTTCTCCTCAATAGTGAGATTAGCGCGAATATGTCTGCCCATGAGAATCTCTGCAGGGGATTGCCCACTATCCAAAGGAGAGCTTCTGTAAGCAAGCAATCCCATATAAGGATCCTGATTTTCCTTACACAAAATGTTTTTCACAATCTGAACTGCTTTTTCTGCCAAACCATTCGATTGTGGATAATTTGGACTAGACATGTTATGCTTGAATTGCCATTCATGTGCAAACTGTCTAAATTCATGACTACGAAACTGGGGACCATTGTCTGTAAATACCTCATCTGGGATACCATGGCGAGCAAACACTGTTTTCATGGCGGTGATGACTCAACGAGACGACATATCTGTCTAGGAGCATACTTCCGGATAGTTGGAGAGATAATCTACAATCACCAGATAATCCTTCCCACCACAATAAAAGAGATCTGCAGCAACTTTCTGCCAAGTGCGAGAAACTGTCTGATGAGGCTGCAAAGGTTCAGGCCGCTGTCTGTTCCTGTAGGTTTGACCCATAGAACAGTTAGACACAATATCGTCAATGTCATGATTGAGTCTTGGCCAAAATAGAGTTTCTTTGAATCTACGTTTACACTTTTCCATACCAAGATGACCAGCATGAACTTTGTCTAGCATGTACAATGTACTTTCTGAGTGAGGTAGGTATTACTACTCTAACACCTTTGAAGATGACACCATCTACAACAGTCAAATCGCAAAGATTCACGGGACATAAACTTCTATGCTCTGGCCAACCTGATTCAATAACTTCCATCAAAGCAAATAGCACTGGATCCTTCCTTGTCTCCTGACGTATCTCAGCATAGCATGTCGTGGACACAGGGAGAGAAAGACGATCATGTCAGCGTAGGCTTGAACACATTCTTCAGATGACGAAACAGAACCGGGCTTTGATGAAGGACATGAGCGTGACAATGTATCAGCTATAAACATCAACTTTCCTGAGGTATGCGAGACTTGAACATCATACTGTTGCATTCTTAACATGAATCTCTGTATTCTGAGAGGGCATTCATTGAGAGACTTGTTGAAGACTGAAACTAATGGCTTGTGATCCGTTTCTACAAGTATGGACTGTCCATATATGTACTGATGGAAATGTTCACATGCAAAGCTTATTGACAACATTTCTTTTTCAATTTGAGCATACCTTGTTTCAGCACTGGTAAGTTTATCATACCCAAAAACCTCTGGACATCTTTCTTACAGGTAGGTCTCTGCATAGATTGTATTGCTCCAACCTTTCGGACATCTGGCTTCACGTCATCACTGCTGATCACATCGCCAAGAAATGTCAACTCGGTGACCCCCAAAACTTCAAGTTATTCTGACGTGCGATATCAAGAACCTGAGAAAGATGTTTATCATGATCTTCAGGCGTTGAACATGACACAATAATGTCATCCATGGAGGTATCTACACCTCCTACTGAATCAAACAAGGCATGTATCATCTTGTGATATACTTCTGGAGCAGAAGATATGCCAAAGGGGAGCCGTAGGAATTTATATCTTCCAAAGGGTGTTATGAATGTACAGAGCTTAGAACTCTCCTCATCCAGCTTCAGTTGAAATAACGTGCATTCGAGAACTTTGCAGTGATTTCCTCTCATGTAGGAAGTTTAAAATGTTCACGTTTAATGGACTTATTTAAGTCTTTAGGGTCGAGGCAGACGCTCAATTGCTTGTTTGGCTTTTCAACAATTACAAGAGGACTCACCCGATCTGTTGGCTCATTCACCTTGGTTATGACGTCAAGCTTCTCCATGCGGCTGAGTTCTTCCTTCAGTCTGTCATGCAAAGCAAAGGGTAGTCGATGACATGCGTGCACAACAGGCGGAACATCATTGTCGAGCTTGATGTGGTGAACACCTGGCAGATCACCCAGACCCTGGAACATGTTTGCATAGTCTAAAGGTAACTCAGCACCAACAGAGAGAACACGACGTACCAAATTCAGCTGGTCACATGCTTTCAACCCTACAATAGACTGAACATGTAGTTACAACACACATGAGATCAAGTTGTGTGTTCTTGTGACAAACTGTAGCTGTAAACTGACCCATTACAGGAATATCAACAGGAGAGTAACCAGTATTGGCTTGTCAAGTAGCCTGTTGAAATCTTTCTCAGAAAGGATATTAGCTTGAGCACCTGTGTCAAGTTTAAGTGGCAAGAACGTGTTACTGACTTGTAAGGAGACTATCCAATCTTTGTCAGAAACGACATCAGTATCAATTGAATCCACAAAGAGTTCATCTTGGGTTTCCTCAACAAAGTGAACTTTACTTTTCGATGACTGATTCTTGGACCTACAAACTCTAGCAAAGTGATTCTGTTTCCCACAATTATCACATAATTTTCCAGATGCAGGACATCTTCTAGGAGCGTGTGTAAATCCACAATAGCCACATGTATCAGATTCCTCAGACGAACATGAACCATAACTCTGGGACTTTTTTCTGTTAGATTTTCGATGGCCAGATTTTGATGTACCGATTGGGAGTCTAGTGGATGAAGTTCCTTAACTTGGACTTTACTAGCTTCAGCAACTCTGCACATAGTAATAGTCTTATCTAAAGTCAAATCATCTTCACACAAGAGCCTTTCCCTTAATGCATCACTTGCAATGCCACAAATTATCCTATCTCAGATGAGAGAATCATACAAATCTCCAAACTCGCATGTTTTTGCTCTGCTCTTTAACTCTGTAACATACTGGTCTATTTTCTCCCCCTCCCTCTGGCTACAGGTAAAGAAACTGTGCCTTTCAAAGGTAATGTTACGTTTGGGAATGCAATAAGCTTCAAATTTATCCAAAATTGGCTGAAGTTTCATAGCATCCGTTTCATTCTCAAAATGAAATGTGTTTTAAATCTCAAGTGCATCTGCTCCAATACCAGACAAAAAAATAGACGACTTTACCTTGTCACCCTTCCCGTCCTTGTCAGAAGCAGTCAAAAAACAACTGAAACTGTTGCTTGAACTTACGCCAGTTCTCCGCAAGATTACCAGTCAACAGCAAAGGTGAGGGTGGATGTAGTTTGTCCATTCTCTGACGAAACCACTCCTGACACCATGTAACAATAGGACGAGGACCAACAATAGACTAAACAGCACACGTTTAATTGAGAAACTGAATGCGATGTGTACAGGGTGACACGGTTAGCGAGAAGCACGTGCTTGACAGGCACATCCGGGTAGGGGACCGGTCCGGCTTGCCTGGCTTAGTGTACATGTCGACGGTTTACAAGTCTCTTATCATTACAGGGACATGGTCTCACAGTGTGGTATCTGTTGTTGCTACAGAAAGCAGCAAATGAGAGAACCATGAAGTCACTCAGACACCTTGGCAAAAACTAGGATCAAACTTATTTGAAGCATTACATTGGTTTGGTACTACTATTAAAAATTCTTGGAAGTGCAAAAGTTAGCAGATATGAAAAGTTCTACCACCATAAATAAACAGTTTGCACGACATGGGATACCTGACACAGTTATCTCAGATAATGGGCCACAGTACGCAAATCATGAATTCAAGAGGTCACAAAAAAATATGGATTTGAACACAAGACCTCGTCGCCACA